CCTACAATGTCTGTGTTATGCATTTCTCTTTACGAGACAAAATTCTTTTGCACAGAGAAATGAACACTTTGCTATACACACTTAATATTAAAAAGCTGAAAACCTTTCTATACTATGTAGTATAATGAGAACAGGAAAATTGTGGAGTCCGTCTTTTAAGAAAATTACATTGCTTAAGAAATTGAGCTGTGAGAATTGTTTAGATGACTGAAGGCTTGAGGTATATAAACACCTTTTTACTTGTGTCTTTTTAAAAATTTTTCATGCTTTCTGTTATGTGGAATAGGAGGAGATTTCAGAATATTCTTGCTTAGCATAATGGGTTAGGAGGGAGAATTACCAGGAATACACAGACTAGATTATATCACGGATTTAATATAGCATTATTATATAACACTTTTAGAAAACCACACTTGTTAATATTGCAACATACCTATGAATGTTTATGTAGTTTTTCAAGATACATGCATGTACATTAAATATGTGCTTACAAATAAGAAAAACTAGAGCAAATTAGGACAAAGTTCAGCGATTTCCTTTGTTTCTGAGTTCTTGTTCCATGGTTATCTTTGAACTGTAAGTTTAACTCGCAGGCTTTCAGAGTAATAGTTTTTCAGTTTTGTTAAAAGGCACGTGAACTCACTAGAGAGAGAGAGATCACCCCAGTGTGGGTGGCCATGTGCAGTTCCTTCTCCATTCTCCTCAGGGTTTGGTGCACGTATATACAGGTATTCTGTGTTTTTCATGCTGTTTGGTCCAGGACTTGACCTGTGCTGTTTGGCCATGTGGGGTCCAGCTGCCTTAACCACCATGCCTCTGGCCAGCCCACAAAATAATTTTAATGCTTTAGTATACTCTACTTTGTTAATCAAGGTTTATAAAATTAATAGTATACTGACTTGTAAGTAGTTGTACTTAGTGTGAGTGATTAATGGATAGATAGTATCTTTTGTAAAGATGTTAGCTTGCTAGGAAAAATTATGATTAGGTGGATTTCCTCTGTAATTTGCTTGTTGGAGGCAATAAATGCACATAGGTAAGATGGGTATTTTTTTTATGAATTAAATCCTAAAACTTCCTTCTCTACCTTCACATTTGGTATGTAGAGATGGACTGCTTGGAAACATTCATTTGAACATTTTCCTTTTCATAACCTGTTACAGTTTCAACCTTAGATTGCTATTTTGTATGGACTTGTTTTGATTGTTTCAGTTCATTGTTACAGCATTCCATGACATAATAGAAATCCATAACTTGTAGGTGTTGAATACTTGGAAATTGTTTATTAATATCCACACAAAATTGATAAAAGAGACAAAAGGTCTACTTAGGATTAATTCATATTAGCTAAATATTTATTTTTCAAGCCTCTGGACAAGATCACTAAGGAATGTGGATGTTAACATTCATCTGAGGATAGCAGGTGGCATAGTGGTTAAGGTGCTGAACTCCCACATGGTTGCGGTTTGAGTTCTGGACCTGGTGGCTTTGGTGGCTTGAAAATTATGCAGGGGGTGTGTGCTTATATGCCCAAAATTCTGAGGGAAGAATGGAGGAAAAAGGATTATGGTGTGGCTATACCCACTGAGGGGGTGATTTCTCATTTTATCTCTCCCAGTGAGTAGGGAAAAAAATTAGCATATAATATACTATTTGCTAGTATATATTTTCAAATAAGTCAAAGCAAATGTTAAGCTTAGTCATCTTAACATCTTTTTCATCTCTATATAAACTTTTCATATTTAATAATTTTGATAAAAATGATTCAGAAAATATTTTATTTGAAGAAAAAACATTTTTTATCGGGAGAAATTGAAGTTTATTTACCATTAATTGATATAGTTCAAAGTAAATCAAACATTTATAAATTCAGCCCTCTTAAATGAATATTTCTTGCCTCTGACATGAATATAGTGCTCAAAGATCCAGACAGCAATCCATACA